GAGTACGAATCTTTGAGGGTAAAACAAGAACCAAGTACGTGATAATCTTTATATATTTAATTCGGAATAGAGATATTGGGGTTAAAATATAGAGATATGTTCTATTTGACGCTCGAGAGGGGGAAATAGAATTAATTTAGGATTCTTGCCTATGAATTTGGGAAATATTTGATAGAAATATCTATAGGGATTGAGAATTATGTCGAGAATATGGTGAAATCATTCCCTAGACATTACGTAAATTTGATTTAATCTTTAGAAATTGCCTCACTTTTATTGCACTATTTAATTCATTGACGTTAATTTAGAAATCAAATATTAATTCAACACTTGATTGTCTAGATAAAGTAAACGCGGACACAATTATAGTACTCAGTGGAACTCGAATATCAATCCCTGTGGGTTCGACACTTTTCAATTCTTTAATATACTACAAAACTTGACACCGTGCGCTTGCGGTATAAAATCACGTTATATAAAACGCGTGGCAAGTTTTTGGCGCCGTTGCCGGGGATTGATTCATTCGAATTCAATTGATGTTATTACCAATCGGCGTTCATTTTACTCTAGATTTTTATTATTATTATTTTTTTTTTTACCGTTATTTTTATTTCACTCCTTTTGTGTCTATCTTTAAAAGTTTCCTTTTGATTATTTTCAGCTGTTTATGCGAAGGGCGAGAAATCTAGATCTACTACATGTTGATCCTGAACCAGAACGCACATTTCGCATTCTCAGAGGCATACAAAGAAACGAACGGGAAGCAATGGCAGAACAGGATGTTAGAGCAGCCAATGAGGATAACCAACAAAGGGCTATTCGAGACTACATAAGGCCGGTTGTCAATGACAACTATTCCGGCATCGCACGCCCAGCAATTGTTGCAAAAAATTTCGAATTGAAGCCAGGGTTGATAGACATGGTACAACAAAATCAGTTTGGGGGTGCTGCAGTAGAAGACCCAAATGCTCATCTTGGATCCTTTTTGGAAATTTGTGACACGGTGAAGATGAATGGGGTTACTGAAGATGCAATTAGACTCCGCCTATTCTCATTCTCTTTAAGGGATAAAGCAAAGGCTTGGTTCCAATCACTACCATATGGCTCAATTACAACTTGGGATGATTTGGCTCAGAAATTCCTTACCAAGTACTTTCCACCTTCTAAATCAGCTCAACTTCGCGGTGAAATTAGCCAATTCAAACAACTCGACTTCGAGCCATTCTATGAAGCCTGGGAAAGATTTAAAGACTTGCTTAGGAGATGTCCTCAACATGGGTTCCAGAAATGGGTGCAAATTGAGATATTTTATAATGGGCTAAATGGGCAGACAAGGACTATGGTAGATGCAGCTGCGGGAGGCATTTTAATGGCTAAAACAGCAGAGGCTGCATATGCTTTATTGGATGACATAGCCACGAACAGTTACCAATGGCCAAGTGAGAGATCGGGTGTAAAGAAAGTAGCAGGACTTCATGAAGTGGATCCCATCACCGCACTAGCAGCTCAGGTTGCATCACTCACAAATCAGATAGTCATGCTTACCACTCAAGGAAATCAACAGAATGTAGATTCAGTCATAAGTACTTCTTCTTCACACCAAGAGACAGAGGTTGCAAACGAGCAGGTCCAATATATCGACAGTAGAAACTACAATCAAAGAGGAGGCTACCAAGCTAATCACTATCATCCAGGGCTGAGGAATCACGAGAACTTGTCATATGGCAACAATAGAAATACACTTCAACCTCCACCCGGATTCAACACTCAGAATTCTGATGGGAAACCACCCTTGGAAGACATCCTTGGGACGTTCATTTCTGAGACAAGATCACGCTTCAACAAAAATGAATTACGGTTGGATAATATTGAAACACATGTGTCCAAAATTGGAGCCACAATGAAGAATCTTGAAGTGCAAATTGGCCAATTGGCTACCTTGATGAAGTCTCAGCAAAAAGGAAAATTTCCCAGTGACACTGAGGTTAACCCACGGGAACACTGCAATGCGATCACCCTAAGGAGTGGTAAAATGGTTGAAGAAAGCAAACCTAAGAAGATTATGGTACCTACGCCGGATGTCATAGTTACAGATGAAAGGCAGAGTGAAAGGCAGAAAACTGAGGCAGAGGGTACAAAGATCTATAAGCCTTACTCGATCTCATTTCCGGACAACCCACCAATCTTGAAGCCCCCACTACCATTCCCGCAGAGGTTCATGAAAAAGAAATTTGATGACCAATTTGCAAAATTCCTGGAAGTCTTCAAGAAAATCCACATCAACATTCCCTTTGCAGAAACTTTGGCCCAAATGCCTAACTACGCCAAATTTTTGAAGGAAGTGATGTCAAATAAGAAGAAGCTGGAGGAGTTCGAGACAATTAAGCTAACAGAGGGGTGTAGTGACATACTTCAGAAACTCCCTCACAAATTGAAAGATCCGGGCAGCTTCAACATCCCGTGCAATATTGGTGGTATCACATTTGATAGGGCACTGTGCGACTTTGGAGCTAGTATAAACCTGATGCCCCTATCAGTGTTCAAAAAGCTGGGTCTTGGAGAAGTGAAACCCACAACCCTCACTTTGCAACTGGCGGACAGATCGATCACATATCCCAAAGGGATGATTGAAGATGTATTGGTGAAGGTCGATAAGTTCATCCTTCCTGTGGACTTTGTGGTGTTGGACATGGAGGAGAACGAGAAAATACCGTTGATTCTTGGTCGACCTTTCCTAGCTACTGGAAGAGCATTGATTGATGTCTAGGAAGGAAAATTGACACTGCGAGTTAATGAAGAGCATGTGACTTTCAACATCCATCAAGTAGAAAAGCCTAAAAAAAAAGTCAACATTTGCAATATGGCCCAATTGGCTGAAGCAGTTTTAGGTTACAGAGAAAAAAAGGAAGTGTTCTATGACCCTTTAGAACAATATATGGCTCTCAATTACTTAGTAAGGGATGCATCTATTGATGGCAAATACTCGGGAGCCGAAGAAGTAGTGGATTTCATATTCACCCAAGAAGCTGATCCACCTGACAAAAAAGAAGGCTATGTGGCTAGGCCTTTGAAACCTCCAAACATTGTCAAACCAAAAGAGGTTTTGAAGGCTACATCGAGGTTCAAATCGTCTGATTTTATTAGCCATACTACGGTGAAGGAGAATGCAAAGCCGAGGGTAAAATTCAGAAACAAGAAAGATGGTCCACCCGAAGATCCACCGTAGACACCTTGGTTGAGTCAAGCTAGTGACTATAAAGAAGCGCTTCTTGGGAGGCAACCCAAGCTTTCATCTTTATTTATTTATTCTGTTTTTGAATTTTAGGATAATTTATTTTATTTCAGAGTTGTTATTTAGGAATTCATCAACCCTACCCGTCCCTTAGGTTTTTAAAAAAAAAAATCAAGTTGGTTATCGATGTTTGAGCTAAGTACCACTTGTTCCATGAGTTTAATATCTACATTGTAATTTTTTAGGAACATGACATCGCAGATCAATCAAACAACATTGAAAAAGGAAAAGCTGGATAAATCTCAAGTTTGGAGGAAAAGCTAGAAGAAACGTCCATCAAATTCAACATTAGTGCACCAAATCATCGTTGGCAATTCAGACAATTCAGGGAAGTCCTCCTCTTTTTCTTTTAATTTAACATTGGGGACAATGTTTAGTTTAAGTTTGGGGGGAGTGTATTATAAATTCTCTAATTGCCAAAATTTTTTGTTTTGTCTAATTTGGGTGCAATTTTTTTTGATTTGTGCGTTTTTTTTAATTAATTTGTTTTTTTATTATTTATTTATTTAATTTTTATTTGTGTGCATTGTCAAAAAAAAAAAATTCGTGTTTTGCATGCCTGTGTGAGTTAGATAGCCTTGTTGGCGATGATGTATAATATTAAGAACATGTGTTGGTTCATGGACTATGGATAAGTTACTTGTATGAATTAGATTTTTGCTTATTCGTGTGAAACGGAAATTATTTGTGCACGTGGGTTGATTGTAGCGTTGTACATGAGTAGGTTGGTCCATGTTTATAGGCTGAATGAGAGAACTTAGATGCTAAACCCAAACAACCTTTAAACAGTATTATACCCTTAAACCAAATATAGTCTGTTTGGTAGGTTAAGCTGTTGCAGGAAAACTTGGAGATAAATGTGGATTCCATGCGTGCTAAATTTTGTGTGGATTGTCTGAGACTAATAGGATGAAAATTGGGTGAAAACTTTAAGTTAGAGGTCGATTTTCGAGAATAGGTGTTTAATAAGGGGCATTGCACTAATCATTGCAAAAAAAAAAAAAAAAAAAAAAGGGATCCCAATGAGGACAACTTTAATAATCTCATTGTGAATCGTCTCTTCGTAGCCTTTATGACTCGAGTAATTAAGCCTGTAAGGGTTTAAAACCTGGTGCCCTAAAGTCGTCTGATTTGGGAGTCATCGGCCTAAAGCTCGTTACAAGGGTCATTTAGAAAGCTTGAGGGAGTGACGTCCACACAAAGGGTGTTTAAAGAATACATTTATATATATAAAAAAAAAGGGGAGAGAAAAAAAATAGATATCAAATGCCTTGATTAAACCCCGAACACCTGTTTTAGAAGATTAGACCTTTGATAAGAGGTTAGTAATTCGGTTGATTCCTAGAGGTTGAAGCAATAAAAAATAAGGAGAATCCTCATTTGTTGACATGTGGAACTACAATCAGTAAAATCTAACCAAACTTGAGTGGTGTAAGAAATTAGTATTGAAAATTTAACCTTAGGTTACATCCTTGGAAGGAGAAAAGAAAATAAGTTTGGGGGTGTGTGAATCCCACGAGCGAAGTAAGGAAAAATTTGACTTCTAAGGTCGGGAATTGGGTCAACTGATTATTGTACAGCGTTATGCTTAACTCTCCACACACACACCCGTTTGCATTGAATGAGCAAGGATTTAACGCTTGCATTATAGTTTTGAAGTACTTCATGAATTTAACGCTGTGTTCTTAATCTTGAGCAATAAATGCAAGGTGTCTAACATAAAGTTTCTTTTGAGTGACTTTATCTGTCTTAGTCGTGTTTTTATGTTCGTTAATAATTATCTTTAGTTTTGTGTTTGCTCGAGGACAAGCAAATAACTAAGTTTGGGGGTGTTTGATGAGTGTAATTCACTCATTAAACTTAAGCTTCTAAATCGAGTTTTTTGATGTGTTCTTGAGCATTTTTGAACTTTTTGATGTGTGCGTTAGTGTTGTTTTGCAGTTTGGACAATTCTCAAGAAACTATCACTATTGGGAGCCGGTGATGAGCAAAAATGATGATCAATGAAATGGAGCATGAATAAGCAAGTATTGAATAAGATTGGAGTGGGAAATAGGCTTGAAAAAATAAAGAGAAGAGGATTAAAGCAGTGGCATTGGCGCCACGACGCCGAAAAAGGGGCGCCAAAGAGAAGAAAAAGCAAGCAGAAACATGGGCGCCATGGCGCCCAAGGAAGAAAAAAGAAGCAGAACATTGGGCGCCACGGCGCCAGACCTAGGCGCCATGGCGCCCGTTTCCAAAACACTAAAATTCGGGTTTTTAAGTATCTTTTCGGCCCAAAAATTATACCCTAACCCTTGAGGACCCTTAGAAAATATAAATACTGAGCTAAAGAACAGAAAAAAGGGGTTGGACGGCTGAAGAAAGGAGGCAAGGGTATACACTAATTGAGAGAAGATCGAACCGATTTTGGAGAAGAAGAAAAAGAAAAAACTGAGAATCAAGCCACAAGATGGAGAAATAGAGCAACAACCCGAGTTTTTTCTTGTCTTTCTCTTCTTCATGAAATTTAATTTGTGTTTTATCATGTTCTTCTTTTCAATCATGAACTAAGTTATTAAATCTAGGGTTTGATGTAGCCTATTTGAGACATGATTCGATTTCTTTATAGTATTTCTATTTAATTTTCCAGAATTGAATTTTTATTGTTCTTGCTTAATGCTTTCTTTTGCCTGATCACCAATTGAATGAATTGATGTTCTAAATTTGACGCTCGAGAGAGGGAAATTTAGGCGTGATCTAAGAACAATATAACCTAGGTTTGTAGATTTCGAGAGAAAGTACGAATCTTTGAGGGTAAAACAAGAACCAAGTACGTGATAATCTTTATATATTTAATTCGGAATAGAGATATTGGGGTTAAAATATAGAGATATGTTCTATTTGACGCTCGAGAGGGGGAAATAGAATTAATTTAGGATTCTTGCCTATGAATTTGGGAAATATTTGATAGAAATATCTATAGGGATTGAGAATTATGTCGAGAATATGGTGAAATCATTCCCTAGACATTACGTAAATTTGATTTAATCTTTAGAAATTGCCTCACTTTTATTGCACTATTTAATTCATTGACGCTAATTTAGAAATCAAATATTAATTTAACACTCGATTGTCTAGATAAAGTAAACGCAGACACAATTATAGTACTCAGTGGAACTCGAATATCAATCCCTGTGGGTTCGACACTTTTCAATTCTTTAATATACTACAAAACTTGACACCGTGCGCTTGCGGTATAAAATCACGTTATATAAAACGCGTGGCACTATCAAAGATATTTCTAAGCATAACCGTGTAATATTCCTGTTCCTAACTTATATGCGAAGCAGTTAATTAAAAGCACAAGAACATCAATTGGTTCATGCAGGAGTTATACATTATTCCCAATTATAACGTGCTACCTTCCACTTTCATTCTTCTGAACTTGAACAGTTCAATTAATGACCAATTAATTGATCGCATTAAAAACATTCAAAATCAAGTGCCAAAATTATATAATCAATATCTATATATAAGTTTCAAAGTTATCCTAAAATCTAAACAACTAGCCAAATATCATAATATTACAAGAACACCAATTGATTACACACAAATTAACTCGAAAATTAGGAATTGGAAAGAAAGTTAGAAAGACCATTGAGTCTTGATTTCCTTCAAAGTTTCTTGAATCTTCAATAATTTCAAGCAATATTGTAGAAATATGTATAGTTTCTTTAAAACTTTACAGGAAATAATGATTTGATATCCAGTTGGCTCTTTTAATTGCATATAATTTATGTATTTGAGCCTCTAACTTTCTCTCTAGCCCTCCCCATTTTATTTGTAGATGAATATCCATATTTATAGGATAAGATTTAGGTTAAATTCGTGTCTAGATGGTTTACATAAAGTGTTTGATTGGAAAAGAGAAAAAAACAAAACAAAACAAAACGAGAGAGAGAGAGAGAAATCTGTTGGACCATATTGTGCGATAGCAATAGTATAGGGACTGAGATTGCACAGCATAAAAACTTTTGGGGCTGCTTCTGCAAAAAGATAATTGCGATCACAACCCTTAATTATCTGTCTGTTACAATTTGATCACCAGATCTCGTATGTTGTTCAATTTGCATACTTTCTTCTTTAAATCTTGGTCCTTCAGCTTTAATTCATTATAAATTGGTTTCACAACATTTCTCAATCATTCATAATCGATCTGATGAAATCTCCAAGAGAGTGCAATTAAGTCTCTAAACTTTCCAAACATCAAATTTAGCTCCCGAAAATTGTGAATCAATTCTTATTGCTCTCGTAGGAAAAATAAAATTTTAGAATATCACATATTTTCCAGCTGTGCAATTGCAAAGATGCCACAAGTAATTAATAAACAAAATAAAAAAATCCGGACACTATTCAAAATGCTTAGCTCAATGTCCATAGAGTCCAGACATAATATTGAACATACTAAAAGAAACAAGATATACGAGAACTAG